ATAAAAAAGTAGAGTAGGGCTAATATGTAGCGAATGCTCCAGTTATTTTTTTGTCACAATTTTACATTAGGGAAACTCAAGGCATTATAAAACTAGCAACTTACTTAAACAAATTTAAGAAATTCATTTCAAAGTTGTAATTTTTATATTGCTCAATTTCATACTGTTGATAGTTTCGTACTTCAGTTATTTTCTAAATAATGATAGTATTTTTAACTTTTAAAGTTAACATTGTTAATGTTTTCAGCCAGGAGAGAACCTTGGTTGTCTAGACCAGTTGAAATAAATCTGTTTTTTTTATTGCTATATTGCTCCATAAAGACCTATTATATCCCGTATTAATCAAGATCTGGGGGCAGATCAATAGGGATACAGTGGTAAAAATCTCACCCCCCTCAATTACATACAAAAAAAAATATTATTTACAGGTTTATATCAAATCAAATTGAATTAATGTGATACACTCACTTATCACATCCATTTGTGTAATAACATAATTATTTTCTTTTATTTCCTACTGTACCCAAAATTAACTTTTTCGACATGGGATCCAAAAGGGAAACAAAGTGTTGACCGATTTGCTGAAAGTCGACAATATCCAGAATATCAACAGAAAATTACACATTGCATCAAAACCTTGCCTCAATTCAGTGTAGACATCAGTGGAGGTCAAGGGGGATCTGGACCCCGCCAGAGAAGTAAATTATCAGCAAACCACACACCCACCCACCCCCCACCCCGTATGCTCCTGAAAATTCCCGACGTATGTTGTTTTGAATGCTGTCACACGCTTTTTATAGAAACAAATAGACCTCGTGTGGGAGGCAGAGCTGCACACTGACGGCGAGGGCTGTCACGTTTTATGTCACAACATACAAACCTAAATGCGAACTGTTGGTTATGTTTACTATATATGTGTATCATCCAATATTTAACAAGTCTTGGCTGAACATGCCTTGATCCCCCATTTAATCGCAGTGCGTAGGTATGCAAAAATGGACCAGCTGGTGTATTGAGGTAGCCTAAAACCCCTAGCGGGATCAAGGGATCTCAACTTTTGTAGGTACGGGTGTTGCATGGGATCTGATAGATTATTAGTTATGTACTATTTGCTTCAAAGTGTTAGTAGAAAATAACACAATTAGTACATCTAGATCCACGCTTCCCAAACTATGGGCCGCCAAACTTTTGCGTTGGGTCGAGAGCAGGTTTGCCAAAAAAAAAATCAATTTATGTTCTCATATTCAGACAGTTAAACAGGTCTGATAATAGTTTTCATAAATTTTAAGTATCCAAGTGCCGTTTTCCAGCATCTCAAAATTCTCAAATTCTTAAAATTTTCCAACCATGTGGGTTGGGGGCTCAGGTGGATATGGTAGTTTTTGGAATTGTAAGTATTTAAGTGCCATTTTCGGGTACCTATTTAATTAATTCAGGTTTTTTCCACATCTAGTCAAAAATAACAAGAATTAAAAGGTAGGCCTAATTTAAGTTCCATTTTTTGGCATCCAAAGGCACAAAATACTGAAAATGTTCTCATGTCACCGCCAACAAATGTGGCGCTGACGTGGTGTGGACTCTCATTTCATCAGCACACAACCCCTCCCCTCACCCTTTCCTTAAATCCTGGATAAGCCACTGGTAACCAAATGGGGACATTTATCAAAATAGGTTCATCAAATAGGCATATATAATTCAATGGTTGAAAATATTTTCTGCAAAAAGTCGATTAGGCCTATATTTTCGTTTTAAATATTAGTAGTAGTCTCATTTGTCACAGTGGCGGGTTCAAGGCTCTTTCTTCTTTCCCCTCCCCACACTCCAATTTAAAAAAAAGAAAATTTGTATTCAAATTCAATACGAGATTGTCATTTCCTGCCATCTATGAGTGCCTAATCTGAAAATTACCTCATCCCCAACCATAGTGGGGCTGAGCTGAATGTACCCTTTATCTGTTTCCTCTTTGGGCCCCTCTATTACGAATTCCCGTATCGGTATCCGACAAGTTGGTCGAAATCCAGTTTGCCGAAACCCGGCTTGCCGAGTTTAGGCCACTTTGTCGAAACTCGGTTTGCCGAATCCAGTTCACCGAAAACATGAAATCCCAGTTGGCCGAAACACGGTTTGCCGAAACCAGATTGCCGAATTTTGCCGTCACCGCAGTACAAAAGCGCAGCATATTACTATTTTGAACTAAGTCATTGACTGATGAGCTGCCAACGCAAAAAAATATTCTAGACCTACCTTTTCAGGACCTGAGCAGAAATTGTGTTTTTTAAACCTAAAAATACAAATCATCATGCAAAACTTACCATTATTAGTAGTATTATTATTATTTATTCGGCATCAATATATACAAAAAAGCATACAGACTTGAACTACCATTTACTGTACACGAAATCGCAGTGTTTTTAAAAGAACGGTAGTTGCTAAATTTAGAAAGCGTTTGTTAAAGTGTTACATCTGGTCTGTACTATTCTATGCTTGTGAATCATGGACGTTAAGTAAGACCATAGAAAAAAAGCTGAAAGCAGTAGAAATATGGTTCTGGAGAAGGATGATGAGAATATGATATAAAAGATGTCGAATGAAGATGTTTTATACAAAGTGGGAACGAAAAGAGAACTGTTGAATACAATCAGGAAAAGGCAATGGAATTTCATTGGGCATGAGTTGAGTAGAGAAGGAGGGATTGAAAGGAAGTTCATTGAGGCTGAGATGGCGACAGGGAAAAGAGCGAGAGGAAGACAGAGATTAAAGATGTTAGACTGGATGATGAAGAGGTTGGGAGTTAGAGATGGACACAGCTAGGCGAGATCGCAAACGACAGGAGAAAATGGAAGTAGAACGCACCACCATGATCTGTCCACGGCATTCGATGCCATTACCACCGAAGAAGTTGCTAAATACAACTTACTTAATACACTACTGAGATAGGCTTTTCTTTTTCAATCTTGATTTCAGAGGTCAAAAATTTTTTTTTTTCAATCATATAGTGGTGTAGACTAGTCTTTTAAGAATATTTTGCTGGAAAAGTTTTTGAATACGACGCCCCGTTATAGAGTTATGTTTTTTAAATGACATGATGTCAAAAAATCAGCCCAAAAGCTTATCTTATTTCTGTTGGTTACGCACCGCTGATACGCAATGTTTGTCATCACTTCATGATGTCTACCGATTCGTGAAAAAGGCCTATTATGGGGTCTACACAAAGTGCAATAATACATAGGCCTAGTTATAATCTTATTTTAGAGGTAGGGATTAGGCCGTAATCACAGGAAGAATTGAAAACAATTCAATGGCCTACTAGGCCTGTAGTACTACAATACTGTACTTAGTGTGGGTTTTCCAACCTAATCCCATCAACAAATTATCTTACTGGAAGAGAAAATGGGCCTAATAAATTAAAATTAGAGCTTATATTACAACCTAACTGCTAAGATTTATTACTTTTTAATGTTTCACAAAATTGCCGGCTATATTACACAAAAAGAGAATGGGAACAGAATGTTAAATATTTAATTAAATTAAATATATTAACTTTCCAACGTCTGTGTATTGCAATTTGTATTGTATAAAGTAATGTACTAAATAACAATTAAGCCCTAGGCCTATTCTTTAGTAGCCTAGGGCCACATTCTGCATAGGCCTGAAGGCCTAGACAGTGGCTGCTCTGGGGTACATTTTCTGGGGGGTGGGTGCCTAAGCTGTCCAACAGGGGGATTGAGCTTGTATGCCTGAGGAGGGGGAGGGTTTGGGAGATGAGATTTTTCTAAAAATAGGGAGGTCTTGATGGCCGGAAATGGGGGTGGGGGCTTAAGACCCATTGTCCCCGCTGGCACCGCCACTGCTAGACAGACTGCTGCGGGTTGCTGAAGCACTAGTCTAGGACTATGCCTTGCCTAGACCTGTCTCAGACTACTGAAAAGGCCTCCTCCTGGTCCGACCTCGCGCAGGCTTAGAGGTGCCTATCTGACTGACCATACTTTGGGCCCAATCATCTGGAAATTGACTTGATGTCTCTTAGGCCCCGATCTGGTCGTAGCAGCAGCACAAACCTATGCACAAACCGGGGAGTTGTTATTCTAAATAACAACTCCCTGCACAATCTAACCCTCAGCCCGCCTCGCTACGTCACATTGGTCACACGTTGTACAGTATGTGCGATGTTTTTAGGTTGACGGTATAATTTATACATGACGTATCACCATACAAGCCACGCCCCTCGGCTGAACCCGTTGTATTTAGCAACTACATAAAAAGTTTTTTTTATATAAACAGACGCTGGTGGCGCTCTCCGAAAGTTTCCAACACTAGGAAAAATGATAAATTAGAGGCTTGCGGCAAGTATATATTTAAAAAAAATGTATATAATATATATTATATATATTTTCGACAACCTATACTAATTATGTACACAGTCTATGCATTTGTTTGGTGTGTTCAATATCATTTATCCGTACCATTCACCTTGAAGTTTGTTCATCTTAGTATCAAACACTTATATTATGTGCATATTTTAGTCACTGGTACGATTGGATAGGCGTGTAGCTGTCTCTTATAC